GTTCAGTACATGCTCAGTTTTATCTGTTTTTTATCAAGTATTTGAAGCAAAAAAAATAAAAAAAAAAATAAAAAGCCACAACTATCTAAAGTGGAAATTCCCCAGACAGGTACAATTCTTACCTTTCACACCCTTCAGTCTTAACAGGACCAAGCCATCCAGAACTAATCTGTGTAGGGATGATGTCCCTGTAGGGTGGTCTGAGTATTGGCATCACATAAGCCAAACAACTTTTCCACAGTTTCTCAGTCAAGCATAGCTGATTCTAGCTAAAACAACACTTAGATGGTCATAAGCATAATAAATACCTTTAGTGATATAATTTATTATCATCATCATGACTAGAAGACTTTGTAGTATCAATTTTACAACAAATCAGTATTATTATCATAGGCATTTTTGAGAAAACATCTGCCTTTAAGCAAAGGTACAAATCACATTTCTGATGTGGTTTGAGGGAAAGGAGGGATTCAGAGTCTCACCAAACAGGCAGAGCTAAACCCCTTTCATACCTCTCCTTCTTACTTCTGACTCTGAAAAAATCATCACCTGAGTGCCCCTGGCTCAGTGTCCTTAATAATGCACCTCTAGTGAAAATTAGACCTCTGTGGGACAAGTTCATCCCAGATTTCACTCAGTGAAAATTTTCCAAGGGCAGGTTTGTTTTAATGGGTCTGTATCAGTCTTGTTGCTGAAGTCCTTGGAAATCCTGGCTTCCTACTATGCTCTTCAGGAGTGATTTTGTGGGAACTGTCACTATATCAGGCTGAATAGGACCACCTGATTGATTCTGCCCGTCCAGATGTATTTGTACAGGACCACAGCTCTAAGTATGCACTCTTGCAAGTTTGTAGCATTTCTGGTATATCTTCTTCTACTGTTCTCTGTCTATTAAACAAAAAATATCTCCAGTGAAGCTGGAACCTGTCATAAAGACAGCATTATTTAGTCACTGGCAGGAAAAGAATGCAGGTAAATGCTCCAAGGATACCACGTTTGACTGAGAAGCTGATGATCTAGTCACCCTCTTCTAGAAAAGCTTTCCTCATGGTTTCCACAAACACATTGTGTAAACAAAGTCCAGGGGCATTACTCCCCAGGTCAAGCTGGAAATCAAAATGTAATCTCTTGATAAAGAAACCTGCAATTATTTATTTCTGTTGCAAGATGAAAGTTTGCTCAAAACATAAGAAAAAAAAAACATAATAAAAAAACAGCTTTTGTTGGTTGAATGTAAATAAGGTGCTTGTCTCTATTGTGAGCTTTGGAGCAGACCTAACCAGAATATATCATTTGACTGTGCAAGCTCCAAGTTGATTCCATTGCTCTCCGGAATGCATTGACTGATAGCAATAGCTGAGGAAGCGTTAGATAACAGAATGGCGAGAGATATTTGAAATTGGTTGTCTGGCTGTGCTCATTGGAAAGTATCAGCAACAACACACGCCAATTACAGTAGCAACAATCTCCCCAGTGTGTTGAGCTTCCTTAGCAGAGTGGTTTTAGAAGCAGAACCCCTCTGGAAGTGGATTGTTTGGAAAATCTGTAAGTTTCTGATGCATTTGAATCCTACAAATTCACCGAGGACTGTGGTATCAGGGAAGAGACTTGGTGACTGCTTGTCCTGTCCTATGACATGCTGTCAGTGGGCGCGCGCAGCAGGAGCTGTGGAATCTCAATTCTGCACTCATTCACAGCCTGGGGAGAAATATTGTCACCTCCATGCCTCTTGGATTGCAGAAGCAGCTGGGAAGCAGAGCAGTCCCTGACATATGGTGGAGTAGCCTCTCCTTCTTAGGCAGGTTTTTTAACTTGTGCAGTGCTGATAAAGCTCTTTATAGAACAAGCTCGTGCTTGAATAACTGCGTATCACAGTGTCCTGTGTCTTCACTTCTGCCTTCCCTCATTCTCCTGACATATTCTTCTCCAACAGAAGCAAGAGAAAAGGCTGCACTGCTCTGCTGGCACTCTGCCATGGGTAAAATAATTTTCTTTTCTCTGTCACTTCTGGGATGACTGGCAGGAACTTCAGCAGAAACCAGAAACCAGAGGCATTAGCACTGACATCTCCAGCCCTGCCTGGAACCTTACTGCCCTCAGAGTATTTGCAGCCTCTGTAATTCTACCACCTCTGACTTCAGAGAAAAGGGGGGAAGACTGACAAATCTCTTCACAAAAGTAATATTGGATCACACTTGTGTAATCCCAACTACAAAATCTGCAGGAGGTTCCAAAGACACCCCAAAGGAAGCAGAATGTCTTTAATGTTCCTGTGATATTTCCCTCTTCCTGCAGTGACCTGTACAGCCAAAGCTTCTGCCACGATATCCCAAAGATATTCTGTAACTGAGAAAATGTCTCTTCATCCTAAACACCTCCAGTTTATCACATTTTAACCCTCACTCAGTCTTGAGTGACTCACCTGTATAATTTTTCCTTTGATCTCCACCACAAGGTAGCCTGCTATGACCAGCTTTGACTCATGGGTGGTTTCTTTCCCTATTTCCTCTTCATTTTTTGTGGCCACCTTCCTCAGTTGCTTTTCAGTTGGTTTCAATGATGTTATTATCCAGTACAGCACAAGCCCTCTGTTACCTTTTTGGTGTGTTCCAGGATCCCTGGATGTTTGATTTTCAATTAGCTAATTTTATTCTTCCAAAACACATTGACTTCAGCTTCATTATTACCGAAAGCTGGACTTCTCATTCAACTGAAATTACATTGGGACATTGGAAAGTGCAGTGGAAATAAATGATTATATAAATGATTCATTGCAACAGGTGAAAATGCCTTTGCAATTGTGAACTGTTTGGTCAGGAGGTATTTTCGTTCTATAAGACTTTCGTCCTGCGTTTTTGGTTGTTTTTCCTATCTTCATAAAAGCAGAAAATCCAACACTACCAGGTTTCCTTGTTGCAGGAAGCAAGTCCAGCATTGGAAGTGATGGTGGTATTTACCCTTCCATACATTTGTTCTGCAAACTTTTTTTTTCCTGCAAATGCATTTGTAAGAACATGCAAAGGCATGTATCTTTCTACTGAACTTTGATAAAAGATGCCAATAAATGATAAAGTTCAGTGACACGGACAGGAACTGAAATTAAAATCATGTGTTGCAATTCTGGTATTTTGAATTCAGTGACATTCATTAGCTCATTTATCTCTGGCTAAAAATAAGGCCCTGAATCTGAGTTAATAATCCAGTTTGGTTTTTTTTTTCTTTACAGAGGCAATAAAGAAATGAACACTTCCAGGGTATATTTAACCCATATCTCTTCAGCAGCTGTTTTGTGATAGGATTGGTGCTATTGAGTCCAATTAAGTGTTTGCAGGCACTTACCTCTGTGAGGGACTACAGGGATACCTGAACAAATTATTTAGGTTGAAACCTTTGCCTAACAAGAGAGGCCATTCAAAAAAATTGATTAAGTGCTTAATTTTTTTAAAATTTGATTAGACACAAACCCTTTAACATCAGTCCATGTAATATCAGCAACAGCAGCAATGAAAATAATTTTTAAAGCCTCTCCGACAATTGTTGGGAAATTCCCCTTTATAGCTAGCTTTTTCATAGGTTTGAAGGTTTCATTTAGTGCAAGTGATTTGTCCTTTCTGCCTCAATTTTTGATCCTCACAGAGTTGAATGAACAATTCCTTACTGCTTAAAAGAAGCTTGATATTCTTGATGAATAAAACTTATGCTCATGATTATTATACCCACTAAAGTATAGCAGATGTAGTGATCATAAAATAGCTTCTATTCACTGAGATGCACAGAAAAATTGAGCTAAAGAAGCCTTTCAGATTCATTTCAGACCATAACCTCTGTGTGTGTGGTGGGTGCTGAGTACCTTGAAGAATGCCAGGATGAGTTACATGCACAACTGCTGTGGGGCCCAGGGCTGCAGGACAGGAACTGCCTTTGTAGCAGCCATGTAATAACATTGCAAAGGGAAAAAAGAATTAGGGACTCGCATGCCTTAGTATTATTTACTGGGCTTATAATATTGTGAACTTCCGTGATGTAAGAAAGACCAGAATTGGTAGGAAAACCCACACATGATTTGGAGGATGCAGCAGGAGACACCTGAATGAAAAGTGATCTTAATCCTTATTATTCAGCAACCATGCAGGGGAAAAACTAGGATATTTTCTGTGTGTTTCAAGCTGATCACCAAAAAAATGCCCAAAGCTAATCAAAAGCAGTAGCTGCCTTTAAAATGATTGATGAGATTCAATCCCTCACTCTCAGTGAGTTTGTTATGCAAGACCCTGCTCATCCAAACTCAGACTGATCAATGTTAACTCCAGTTAAATGCACCTGAATTTGCACGTGATAACAAGATATCATCCTACAAGCCTCTGTATTTCTGTATGGCCTTGTGTATGTGCCCACCTCACTGAGCTAAGACTGCTCATGAAGAAAAGTTTTTTGTGGGAATGTTTGCAGGAGGGAGATGCAAGTGTAGGGACAAAAGTATGAAAGCAAACTAGCAAAATATTAAAACAGTATGTGGAAGCTGACTGAAGCTCTGTGTTTCAGAGCTTTGTGTTCCTGTGGTCAGGAGGTGGGGTTATGACTTGTTTAATTGTGATTTAATGTCCTGTGGGGGAAATAATTTTTTTTTCTTTATGAAATGACCAGATTTCTTTTTTGAAATCGGAGAAAATTCCTTCAGTGATCACTTTGGACGTACAGCAGAAAAATCTGCAGCAATCCCTTTAAATATCTCTCAGATGCAAATAGGATAGAAAACCCCCAAATGTGTGTGTCTTCTTTTTTCCAGGGGCACTTGTTGAGCGAGCTCCCTGGGAGGAGCCCACGTGGAAAGAAATCATGCGCAGACCAGAAGAAAATTTCTGTTTGAAGCTTAAATTTTCTTCAGCCCCAGTCTCTTTGTAAGGGGACGAATAGGATCTGGAGAGCCCTCCGGAGCGGCTCCCCCGAGGCGAGGCAGCCGCATCCCAGGGGCCAGGCTCCATCTAGCGCCGCGGCCGGGGATGGCCGGGCGGGGATCCAGCCCGGAGCCGCGCCGGGACACCCACAGCCGCCGGTACCTGGCCGGACCGGGCTGGACCAGCACCGTGTGCGGCCGTGCCCCGCCGGCTTCCCCGGAACCGGGAGCGGCCGTCCCGCTCCCCCAGCGTTCGGCCCCTGCCGGAGAGGCGAGCCCAGGTTTAGGCAGCGGCTCTTTGATTTCAGAAAAGGGAAATGAAATGCAGGACGGGCAAGGGCGAAGGCAGGGGCTGAGCCGCGGCGGGGAGCAGGGCAGCCTCCTGCCGCTGGGTGGGCCGGGTACACACACGCCC